ACCTTCTTGTTAAAGCTTTACAAAGACTCCAAATGCCCTCACAATTAACTAACATTATACAAAACCTTCTACACAACTGATGTAATCAGGTTATTACTAACTTCGGACTTACAATACTATACTTAGTAAAAGATGATATAGATTAAGGTGAAACTAGAGATTGTACCTGTCAAAAATTTTAACTCCGGGTTACCCGCCCGTACAAATAATCATTACCAGGTTACAAACCGGGTAACCCGGGTAAACTGGGTAACACGGGTAACCCAGGTGACCCGAATATAAATCGATCGTACGCGTAAAAGTTCATATACAAGACCCAGGTCTGGTACATTCCACCAATTTTTAAATCCTTTAGTAGACCCGGGTCTAGTACTCACCCAGAGCTTATAACGTGAAAAAGAAAAATTTCAAGTGCTTACACACCTTGTATTTATAATAAGCATTCTGGCTTTAAACGACCTCTATTTACGGTGCAGCAGTGACAATTTTAGTCGATAATGGCCAATATCGATATAACTCTGGTTAAATATGATATTTTCGAAGAACATTCACTGGAAAATAGTCGAAAAAAAATTTAGAAGGGTAATCAATTCGAACAATTGCTAAACACTTAAGTGTTAGTAGTTCTTCAATAAGTTGAGCTTTTAAACAATTTCAAAGCTATGGATGTGTTGAAAGACTTTCGCCACTTGTAAGAAACCATATCCACTAAACCTGAATGATATTAAATATCTTAAAACTTTGATGGAAGAAAAGCCTAACTGGTATTTTTGTGTTACAATCAGAAAATAGAGGCCGTTTAAAGTCATGTAGTATTTTATATGTTTCGTGTGTTTTAAAACATACGTACATACCTGGCTTTAGCTGTATATTATAAACCTTACACTGATCATGCCGAAATCAATAACTTATCGAATCGCCAAACAATCATTCGGTCAATTTTTTACCAGATGTCCTAAAAATAATGAAAACATCTGTAAAGGTATAAATTCCATAAAGATGCAACATTTATGGATGAAACGTGGAATAGAAAATACATATTGGATTTTTTTTATAGGGTATCATAATTACCATCTTGGTGGTTTAATGTCAATATGGTGAGATTTGCTTATTCGTTAAAGATGATAGATTTTATCTGTGTTATGAAATAAAACACGGGTTCGGTTAGCCAAAGACGATTTGCATAATGGATAACTAATTTATTTATCAATTTTTTTTTAATGAATATTGAGGTTTTCCCTATAAATTAATTACTCAAGCTGCATCATGAGTTTATAGATAACTAATACGGGTCACCCGGGTAGCAATGGTTATGACCCAGTTAATGGATGTTATGCGGGTTACCCAGGTAACCTTATACGGGTACAATCTCTAGGCGAAACTAGAACACCCTTACTTTGGCGAATTTACTACGACCCATTAATTACCTATATACACAACAAATACAAAGGATATACCTCATCAGTCCAATGGCTTACACAACT